TCTTTTTGAGGTGATACTTGAAGTTTCCATGTCCAGTAATCAATGAAGTCAGCCAGCTTAGGGTGCTCCGCGGATAGCTTATCACTTTTATCGCTTCCCTAGCCTGGGAAGCCTTCACTTCCCTGGTTCCCTGGTTAAGGTAGTGGTATAAATATTTATATATATCGCATGGTACTTTTAAACTGATATTGGTTTTTTAAACTAAGTTGAAATATTACTCGTATATCAAATATGTGCTTGAATTGGCCATTTCAATTAATAATAAATGTAACATAAACGAATAATAAATGTATAAATTGGTACATGTTCTTCTGAACTTCATTCTGTACAATCCAATTGGATCTAATTAAGATTGCTGAATAATATTATTGTATATGTTTAATGAAAAACTATAATACACATATATTTTACACAGAAGCTGTATTGAAATCTGATAAAACCTGTAGCAAGTAGCAAGTAATTGAACTTTAATTTTTCTTTTGATTTGTGCTACTATTTTTTGAATCATTTATGAACGAATTTCTTGATGTTGTATCTCTATCTATTATATGATTATACTTTAAGCCACTTTTTTATTTTTATAAAATAATTAAAACTTATCATGTTTCTAGTACAAACATTAATCATCTTATAATATTTTGTGGTATATTACGTATGCAACATTAACCTAATTGAATGTGTTATTTTATTTATTAAATGCAACGGCGCCAGTTTTTGATTGCATTTAAGTGCATAACCCCTGAGACTAGTTAAATAGGTGACTAATAGAAAGTTCTTCACATGTGATTCATATGATGTAATAACTCTTTTTAGCACGCAATGCAGTTCTAGTAATTGTTTTAAATATATTTCATATCCTTTAAGTTCGTATATATGCATATATAAACATTAGCATATCCTACTTTAGAACATTGTTTAAATAGCGTAAACTACGATTACTCCTATTTTGACATTTCAAATTATGTATTCATACTATAAATACTATTTAATTAAAATTGTTCAAATTCAAGTATATAAAGTGCATTTAAAAAATTATGTAAATAGAAAAAAATTATTTAGGTATTATGGTTCTGTTAATAAATGAATTTCATTTACAAATTTAATTTAAAAGTAATTAACTAAATGAATTTATGGAGATATTTTTACACATATTTTAAAAAAAATGTTTCTTTAACTAAGTACAATATTCACAATATTGAAGTGCACTTTCCGAATGCTCGACAAGTTTGTTAATATCATTTTTAATGAATTTTTTAATTAAATTTACATGCTATGACTTTTAATAGTGCAATATTTTACGATATTCATTTAAGATTATCTCAATGCATGCAAATATATAAAAAATGATCATTGAGTTAAAAAGCATAAATTAAGAAAATATGTAGTAATAATTTTTCTTGACAACAAAATTCAGTTCAAACTAGTAAAATAGTTATTAAAAAAAAATAAAAGATATATAAAAATTATTTTTTGTTTGTTTTAAGTATTGTGAGATTTTATAAATTAATTGTTAAATAAAGAAAAGATTTATCTTTATGATTTAATGACACAGAGCAATGGGAAAAACCGTATCCATTTTTTAGGCAAAGGTGTGAGACGCTCTATGGCTTAGAGCTCTGTGTGAGAAAGTGTCTAAGCAAGGGACCCGAGGTATCAAAATATGCATTGTTTCGGACAGCAAAGCAGTTTTAAAAATCTTTAGTAAGTTCCTTATTTCAATCAAAGTTGGTGTGGGAATGCTTTAAACTTCTCAATGCTCTAGCATCGAGGAACTATGTTACTCTTATGTGGGTACCGGAACATGAACAACATGAGGGTAATGAAACAGCAGACTTCTAGCACGGAAGGGTGCATATACTTCTTTTATTGTTCTAGAGCTCTTCTGTGGAGTAACAATTAGCTTCATAAATAACTTTTTATATGAACGGGAGAAACAAAATCTACTTGAACACTAGAGAGCACAAAAAGACATGCGGCAGTCTTGAGCACATCAAACTTGATGCTATCCTTGAACTTAGTAGAAACGACAATCCCACAACGATTAAGAGATTTATAAATAGTTTAGAATTGTTTTATTTGGGTCTTTAGGCCAACATTATTATTATTTAATAATAATAACAGTGACGTAGAACCCACTTTACTTGAAATTTTGAAGAACAATTCTCGTTTTGATAGTGACTTATATTATTTATAATAATTTGTATACTTAAATGAGTTGGTATGATATGATTTGTGTAAAAAAATAAATTTCCATAAATTTATACTTTAACTTTAATATTTAAGCATCTTTATGTTAGTATATTTTTGAAGAATTTCTCTTTTCTTAATATACATAAGTGTGTAAAGTTGATGTTGTGTACTATTTAAAGAAATTTCATTAACTCAGACTAAAAACTAAATGCCATTTATAAGTATAAAAGTAATTTCTGAGACATCAAAATGTCAACCTTTCAGAAATGTTGTAAAGTTTACCAGTAAAAGCGCAACAGCAGAAGGCAGATTAAATTTTTTTGATCAAACTTAAGGTAGCTGGTATTTTATTAAATTATACCAATTATTAAGTTTTAAATTTGTACTAATTTTCCAGTTATTAACACTGCTGTAGAGTTTAAATCAATTATTTAGCAAAACTTATCACAGCTGTCATCGGCAATAATCTCACAACTTTGATAAACAACAGAGTTCTCAAATTAAATTCAGATGGAAAATACAAAATAAATTTTATTAGTTCGTATTCAATCATTTAAGTCAGAGTGTCAAATATGATTTTTAGCTTTTACTATTTTATTGATAACAAATTGAATTAATAATGCATTAATTGCACAACACATATGAGTTATAAAGCCTAGAATAATTACTGCAATTACTTTTGAGCTTAGATATTATTTATTCATATACGCATTCCTTGATAATATTCATTTAATATTTATTTTAATTATAATGAAATGAAATCTATTCAAAGGTTAGTGTCAATAAGCCCATTTACTACTTCATATTTTTGGTCACTCACGACATGTCAGGAGAAAAAGGAGTTGTAGAAGATAAATTCTAGATTTAAAATTTATTTTAACTAATTTGATTTATTTAAATTAAATAAATAAAAGATTTTATTGTTTTATTTTATAATAGATACATATTATTAAGATATTGCTTCACTTCCGTACATTTTACATTTTAAATACAGTGTTCGTGAGTGGTTTTATCTTTAATTGGATGTTAATATTACAATTCGGTCAATATTTATTATTATACATTTTTTGAATAATTTTTTTGGGACAGACAGACAAGTTTTTTTCCATTAATTTAAGCATTTATACAGAAAATATTTATCCCTTTTTCGTTACAATTTTTAGTACATAAGGTTAATTTTTTGATCGGGGAGGAGGAAGCCAGTTCTACACTTCAATTCATGTACACTTCTATTTATAAGTCCAGTACTTCTTTCGACACAATCTTTATTACAACAGGTTTATGTTTTTGACCGGAGAGGAAGCAGAGAGAATTACTGTTTATGAACAATATTTGATGAGTCCTGTAATTTTTTTAAGAGCTACAGCAAGGCTTGTTTTGACTTCAAATCCAATTGCTGTATGCAAGAGATCCACACTAGTTTAAGTACAATTTTGTCAATCAAAAGTTTGTTTTGTGAATGTAGTAGAGATATATTACTACATGGAACTACAACGTTCATGTTTTTTTTTGTAATTACATGATGTTGTAAGGTAACACACTTGTCTAAGTATACTAGATGGTTTGATATTTGACTTCACAAAAGGTGGCCACGCCAGAACAAAATCATCTATATTTTATGTATCTGGCAAGTTTTAAATGACAGCTGTAAAAGTTTCGAATTTTTTGATGTTTATAATGTATATGTTTTTAGACTTGTCTAAGTATACTACGTGGATTGATATGTATTTGACTTCATAAAAGGTGGCAACGCCAGAACAAAATCATCTATATTTTGTATAACTGGAAAGTTTTAAATGACAACTGTAAAAGTTTCCAGTTTTTTAGATGTTTGGTATTAGCTTTTTGCAAATAATTGAAATAGTGCACCTTGGTGATTTTTTTATAAAATGAAATAATTGAATATC